ACTGACTTTGCTAACTGCTTCTTTAATACAGTTAAGGTACAAACAGATGTCTTCTTCGAGGGGCCAGGCCGAGGTTTGGCAGATGGTAACTCGACACCACCACCAGCCTTAAAACACTGCACCCAGTTACTTACTGAATGCTAACACACGCCAACATGGTTTGAGCTATAGTTTCTGATATTAACCCTTTCAAGGTCGGCAGGCCCTCTCCTAAACTTGTTCGCAAGGTCGGAAATTTTTCGGAAAAAAAAAAAAATTCTTATGAAATGAAAGAGAATCTTTTTCCGATCATAATCACACCAAAAGTATGAACATTGATGGAAAACTTACGGAATAATGCTCTTGCGAAGTTAGCGATCTTGACGATTTCCACGCATCGGCGATTTCGCCCAATTTGAGCCCTATTTTCAGCCAATTCCAATGCACCAGTCAACAAAAATCATAACTATTTCACTAGAAATCCATTTTTTCTATCGAATGAGTATGAGAAACCACCCATTTACCGATTTCAATTATCCAATAAAGTGGTCAGAAATTGGCAATTTTGCCAATTTCACATAAATTTCAAAAGATGCCAATTTCCAAATAGGGTCCAGAATATACAAGACAGACATTCCTGGCTCTAAAATAACATTTCCTCTGTTCATTAGTCACGTCCCCAGGCCTCTGTTACATTTCTTTTGCTTTCCACTTGGAATCTTTATTCTCACAAAAAATAGAAGATTTACTGTTATGCAGACTACTGCATTAGTGTAGAAATGGCGCAAAAATGGTATAAATAATACACTTCCCCTCACTGCAGCAGTCTCGTGAGCACTGAGGAGTCACTGTGGATTGTGGTAGAAGGCCATGACATCATGCTAAGGGCTGCTACCTGGCATAATGCACTGACTATAAAAGACCTCCCTGTATGGTAGGCCTTTGATTTTCATCATGGCATTATGCAGGGGTGCTAACCCGGGATATTGCCATGATGAGCATTGTAAGCCACAGCACTGTCTTCCTTTGTAGATGACACCTGAATTGGCATGGAAGTGTCCTCCACTGAAGACACTGCAAGACTCCAGGCGGACATCAACCAAATCTTTAAATGGGCCACAGGAAACAATATGAAGTTCAACGATAAGAAATTTCAATTACTCCGATAAAGAAAACATAAGGAAATTAAAACTGTATCGGAGTATAATACAAATTCCAACTACACAATAGAGCGAAAAACTAATGTAAAAGATCTAGGAGTGACAATGTCAGAGGATCTCACCTTCAAAGACCACAACACTGCATCAATCACATCTGCTAGAAAAATGACAGGATGGATAATGAAAACCTTCAAAACTAGGGATGCCAAGCCCATGATTACACTCTTCAGGTTGCTTGTTCTATTTAGGCTGGAATATTGCTGCACACTAACAGTACCTTTCAAGGCAGGTGAAATTGCTAACCTAGAAAATGTACAGAGAATCTTCATGGCACACATAACTGAGATAAAACACCTCAATTACCGGGATCACTTAGCATTCCTCAACCTGTACTCCCTAGAATGCAGGAGGGAGAGATACATGATTATATACACTTGAAAAATTCTAGAGGGATTAGTACCAAACCTGCACACGAAAATCATTCCCTATGAAAACAAAAAACTCGGCAGACGGTGCAACATCCCCCCAATGAAAAGCAGGGGTGTCACTAGCACAATAAGAGACAAGACAATAAGTGTCAGGGGCCCAAGACTGTTCAACTGCCTCCCAGCATACATAACTGGGATTACCAATAGACCCCTGGCTGTCTTCAAGAAGGCACTGGACAGGCACCTAAAATCTGTACCTGACCAGCCAGGCTGTGGTTTGTACATCAGTTTGTGTGCAGCCAGCAGTAACAGCCTGGTTGATAAGGCCCTGATCCACCATGAGGCCTGGTCTCAGACTGAGCCGCAGGGGCATTGACCCCTGAAACCCTCTCCAGGTATACTCCAGGTATTCCTGTTTTCCATTTATACACCTCAATCATATCCCCCCTAATTCTACGTCTTCCTAAAGAGTGCAGATTCAGGGCCCTCAGTCTATCCTCATAGGGAAGGTTTCTGATATATGGGATCAACTTTGTCATCCTCCTTTGTACATTTTCCAGAGCATTTATGTCAATTCCGTAATATGTAAAGTAAAAGGACACAAGTGCAACTAATGTGACATTTTATTGTGGCAACGTTTCACTCTCCAGGAGCTTTATCAAATGTCACATTAGTTGCACTTGTGTCCTTTTACTTTACATATTATCGGTAATTCTACCAACTTTATTACAACTCCGTAATACAGTGACCAGAACTGTGCGGCATAATCTAAATGAGACCCGACAAACATGATATAGAGTTGAAAAACATAATAATTATTTAGTAATAATTTAATTTAATAATTTTAATGACTTAATAATTCAATAATTACTATTAATTAATAATTTAATAATTATTATTCATAATTTAATTTTTTTAACAAGTCAGCCATCTCCCACCGAGGCTTTCTTTTTATATTTTATTTAAAGCAATGCAAACACAAGGTGGTATAAATACACAGTGGAAATAAATGGTATAAAATACCGACACAGTGGAAATATAAACACAAATGCAGTATAATGTGATCCTTTATTGACAACGTTTCACCCACACAGTGGGCTTTTTCAAGTCACACACGGATCTACCTGGGGTTGGAAGGTACGAGAGTATTTATAGTCATGTTCAGAATGTTGAGGTCAGGTGGAGAATGCTGCATCTGATGATCTACCGGGTGGGGTTATACAGTCTTGGATCACATTATACTGCATTTGTGTTTATATTTCCATAAATACACAGAACAGATTAATACACACCGAGGCAGAGTGACCCAAAAAGAAAGAAAATACCCAAAAAGAAAATATTTTCATCATTCAACACTTTCACCTCACACATAATCACTGTTTTTGCAGAGGTGCTCAGAATACAACAGTTTAGAAGTATATACATATAAAGATACACAACATATCCCTCCAAACTGCCAATATCCTAAACCCCTCCTTTAATTTAATTATTAATTTAATTATTATTGAGTGAGCTACTCAAGTCCCAATATGACTCGGTTTTTAGCAAGCCGCTAACCAGACTGAGAGTCGAAGATCAAAATGAATTTTTTATGAGAGAGCCACAAAATTTGATTAACACAAGCCTATCCGATGTTATCCTGACGCCAAATGACTTCGAACAGGCGATAAATGACATGCCCATGCACTCTGCCCCAGGGCCAGACTCATGGAACTCTGTGTTCATCAAGAACTGCAAGAAGCCCCTATCACGAGCCTTTTCCATCCTATGGAGAGGGAGCATGGACACGGGGGTCGTCCCACAGTTACTAAAAACAAACAGACATAGCCCCACTCCACAAAGGGGGCAGTAAAGCAACAGCAAAGAACTACAGACCAATAGCACTAACATCCCATATCATAAAAATCTTTGAAAGGGTCCTAAGAAGCAAGATCACCACGCATCTAGAAGCCCATCAGTTACACAACCCAGGGCAACATGGGTTTAGAACAGGGCGCTCCTGTCTGTCTCAACTATTGGACCACTACGACAAGGTCCTAAATGCACTAGAAGACAAAAAGAATGCAGATGTAATATATACAGACTTTGCAAAAGCCTTCGACAAGTGTGACCATGGCGTAATAGCGCACAAAATGCGTGCTAAAGGAATAACAGGAAAAGTCGGTCGATGGATCTATAATTTCCTCACTAACAGAACACAGAGAGTAGTCGTCAACAGAGTAAAGTCCGAGGCAGCTACGGTGAAAAGCTCTGTTCCACAAGGCACAGTACTCGCTCCCATCTTGTTCCTCATCCTTATATCCGACATAGACAAGGATGTCAGCCACAGCACCGTGTCTTCCTTTGCAGATGACACCCGAATCTGCATGACAGTGTCTTCCATTGCAGACACTGCAAAGCCCCAGGCAGACATCAACCAAATCTTTCAGTGGGCTGCAGAAAACAATATGAAGTTCAACGATGAGAAATTTCAATTACTCAGATATGGTAAACATGAGGAAATTAAATCTTCATCAGAGTACAAAACAAATTCTGGCCACAAAATAGAGCGAAACACCAACGTCAAAGACCTGGGAGTGATCATGTCGGAGGATCTCACCTTCAAGGACCATAACATTGTATCAATCGCATCTGCTAGAAAAATGACAGGATGGATAATGAGAACCTTCAAAACTAGGGAGGCCAAGCCCATGATGACGCTCTTCAGGTCACTTGTTCTATCTAGGCTGGAATATTGGTGCACACTAACAGCACCTTTCAAGGCAGGTGAAATTGCCGACCTAGAAAATGTACAGAGAACTTTCACGGCACGCATAACGGAGATAAAACACCTCAATTATTGGGAGCGCTTGAGGTTCCTAAACCTGTATTCCCTGGAACGCAGGAGGGAGAGATACATGATTATATACACCTGGAAAATCCTAGAGGGACTAGTACCGAACTTGCACACGAAAATCACTCACTACGAAAGCAAAAGACTTGGCAGACGATGCACCATCCCCCCAATGAAAAGCAGGGGTGTCACTAGCACGTTAAGAGACCATACAATAAGTGTCAGGGGCCCGAGACTGTTCAACTGCCTCCCAGCACACATAAGGGGGATTACCAACAGACCCCTGGCAGTCTTCAAGCTGGCACTGGGCAAGCACCTAAAGTCAGTTCCGGATCAGCCGGGCTGTGGCTCGTATGTTGGTTTGCGTGCAGCCAGCAGCAACAGCCTGGTTGATCAGGCTCTGATCCACCAGGAGGCCTGGTCTCAGACCGGGCCGCGGGGGCGTTGACCCCCGGAACTCTCTCCAGGTAAACTCCAGGTAATGATTATTATAAAAAAAATTAAGGCTGTATCAGAACACAATTCTCTCAGCAACACAGGAAAACCTGAATTAATAAAAATATTAAATCAGCTGCCACCAGACTTCCTTGATAATCTTACCAGCTGCCCAAGCTGCTCCCCTGGGGTTGAGACACCACTTCTGTCTCCTGCGAGGCTCAGCAAGCATAGACATCTTCACCTCAACACCTGCTGTGCAGCTGCTTGTGTACTTGATCCTCAAACCAGCTGTTTGTGCACGTGATGCCCTTTAAACCAGCTGTTTGTGTACTTGCTGGGCCTCAACACCGGCGACAGCAGGTATTGTATCCCAAAAATATCTGACTGGTCGTACACTCTTGAGTCACAAGTACTGGGTGTTTATATGCAGCTTGTCGCAATTGTTGGTTGTGCACCAGCTGTCCCTTACAAAAGCTGGTAGTGCAGGAGGTATTCCTGGCAGCAGCTGGTACAAGCTACAGTGGTCCACCTTGTGGGTTGTTGTTGTCGTTGTTGTTGTTGGGTTCAAGGGCCGCCACACTCCACCACCGTATAAACCAAGCCATTACCGTATGTCCAACAGTTATGTATCTTAATTCAGAAACGTTTCGCCTACATAGTAGGCTTCTTCAGTCGAGTTCAGAGGAAATAAATGGTATAAAATACCGACACAATGAAAATATAAACACATATGCAGTATAATGTGATCCTTTATTGACAACGTTTCGCCGGTGGCCCGGTGACCTGGTGGCTAAAGCTCCCGCTTCACACACGGAGGACCCGGGTTCGATTCCCGGCGGGTGGAAACATTTCGACACGTTTCCTTACATCTGTTGTCCTGTTCACCTAGCAGCAAATAGGTACCTGGGTGTTAGTCGACTGGTGTGGGTCGCATCCTGGGGGACAAGATTAAGGACCCCAATGGAAATAAGTTAGACAGTCCTCGATGACGCACTGACTTTCTTGGGTTATCCTGGGTGGCTAACCCTCCGGGGTTAAAAATCCGAACGAAATCTTATCTTATCTTATCACACTGGGCTTTTTCAATTCACCCCAGGTAGATCTGTTCGTGACTTGAAAAAGCCCACTGTGTGGGCGAAACGTTGTCAATAAAGGATCACATTATACTGCATATGTGTTTATATTTCGAGTACAGAGGAGTTTGCAGTAGTAGAGATGTGAAGACGATATAATCAGCCCATCACCCTTGAAGACGTAGTTTTGAGGTGGTCAGTCCCTCAGCCTCCAGGCTGAAGAACACTGCAGGAGGCATGTTTATTTATTTATTTATTTATTTAAAAATTTGTGCACACATACAGAGGTACAAAAAATACAGAAAAGAGCAGTATGCCAAAGCCACTTATACTATGCATAGCATTACGGGCTGGCTTAAAATTAACTTAAGATGAACTAAGCAATGATGACATCGGTGATAAAACTTTAATGTAAACAGATTACTATAAAGCACAAGTGAGTATTACAAAGACAGGTCATATGGTTGTATGCATTGTTGTACATTCAGTAGAATGGAGTATTCTGTTAGGTAGTGTATTTAAAAAATAATAAAGTTAGATTGGGTTTTAGGTTTAACGTTTATGTGATATAATTGTGAGAAACATTTAAGATATACAATTTATAAGGTTCAGTTATTCAGTATTTATTTGGTTTTGGGTGAGTAAGTGATCTTTGAGAAGAGACTTGAATTTATAAACAGGTAGTGTTTCTTTTATATTTACAGGTAGTGAGTTCCAGATTTTAGGCCTTTTATGTGCATTGAGTTTTTGCATAGTGTGAGATGGACACGAGGAACATCAAAGAGTGATCTGTGCCTTGTGTTATGGTCATGTGTTCGTTGAGGTTGGCAAGGGATTTTTTGGGGGGAGGGTTAATATAAAAGGTTAAGTGTTCTATGTAGAAATAGGTGAGTAAAAAGTATGAATTTTTTTGTATGGTGAATGGGTTTCGTGTATTGAATATTGTGGAGTGTGCTGCCTATAGTGGAATTTTTTAAACTTTCTAACTTTTGGCCCATACTGGCAGGATCTTCACAATCCCCCCACAACTCTTTTTTAAACCCCATCTTTTTACTCTTATGCAAGTCCACAAAAATTTCAACCCCTCTTTATGTTTTTACCCAACTTCACTGCCCCTTATGCTCCATATTCCAGGCCCCTCATTGAGACTTATGCTCCTTTTTCAATTTATTACGTTTTTATATCGGGGTGGTTAAAATTTCTTACTTAAAACTTCATATTTTTTTTCTGCGGCTCATTCCCACGGTTTTGCTTAAAATCACCCTACAGGCCGGGACTGACTCGACCCCTGAACCACAAATAGTGAGTACTCTTCCACTCATCAACTACCCTATTTCCAAACCACTACTTGGACCTCTTGCAACGAGACTTTGTCGCCAATACAAAGAAAGGCTGAGAGCATTTAGAGTTGTGGCAGGGTTTCACCCCAGGTACGGTGCTAATGTTAAAAATTTTGGAAAAATAATGTATCTTGTTATTTTAGATCATTGGTTGATTATGCTGCGTCACTACTTGCTCTTGTGTCTTACTGGAAGCTTGGACGGCTGGAAGAACTGCAGAATGAAGCAATGAGGATCATTTTAGGTGACGTGGTGACGTGTACTTAGCTCTGTGAAGACCTGTTTGCGCGCTCTCTACGAATTAAAGCAAGATGCCCTCCATCGAGCAACTTTACCAACAGCTTAAGGAAGAATTGAGGATGGCGAAGATGGAGATTCGGCGACTGACTGAGGAAAACAAGTAGATTCGTAGAAGTCCTCCTGTTTTGAGTCCTCAGGTCAAGAAGGGAAACTGGTCAGTGGCTGGACAGCAGGGAACGAAGTTGACGATCAAGAAACAAGGGAAAAGGGGTAGAAACGATGAAGAAAAAGAGACGCCGTGAAACTGTTGGGGAAAAAACATCTAATACATTCTCTGCTACCCGACAATGGAGTCGACACTGGGAACTAAACCGAACGACATAAAGGAAGGTAAAAATTTGTTTTGTTGGGGATACCCAAAGTAGGATAGGGATAGGGCTTTCGCTTAAAGGACAAGTAGGAGACAGAGATTTGCTTTCCTGGGCTGGATGGAGGTATTGTTGCCGTCTGGATGACATCAGAGAGGGAATGGGGGCAATCCCATTTTCTGTCCCAGTGCTGGAGGCAAGATGTTGGCAGACAAGGAGTGAAGACCTGATTTGCAGGTATAGGTCAGCAATAGAAAAAATTTGGGGTAAAGGGGGGGAACCCTGTCTTGTGGTATTTTGCCAAGGGAGGAGTTGAAATGAATGGTTGTCCGGGCAATTTGGTGTCAAATTTCTGGCTGGACAAATACTGTAAGGAAAAAGCGGTAACATTCATTGACAACTGGCCTTTTTTATGGCAAAATGACATGTATGCCAGGGTGGGTTCACTTTCTGGTGTGGGGGGAAGCACTGGGGAACTCAGTGGGGGGAGCTGTTAGGACTTTAAACTAGGAATAGTTTTGGGATGGGGGTTTTTGGGAGGAAAACAGTGAATCCCAGGTAGTAATATTACAGTTCTAGGGGAACTGTAAAAAAGCAAACGAGGCAGATATTTAAAAGCCAGTGACTTTGGGTGATAAAAACAGTAATAGGTTAGTAAAAAACAGAAATGAGCAGGAAGGGTAAAGAAAAGGGACTTTCAATGTTTATTTTGCTAATTGCCGTATGCTAGGAAATTTAAAATGGACGAGTTGAGATTAGTTTCTATGCAGGTAAAATTGATGTATTTGCCTTAACTAGACGTTTTAACTCAAAAAGTCGGGGCTGCTGTGGAATGTCAATTCAGGGTTTTAAATTGTTCCAAGTAGATAGAAGTATCGGGAAGGGGGGGGGGGGGGGGGGTGGGATTGTATGTCGAGATCGCTTGAACTGTTCATAAAAAGGGATTAAGTCTGAATAACACCTACAGGCTGTTTGGATAGAATTTTCAGAGGGGCTGAAAAAAATGATTTTAGGGGTGAAATACCATCCCCCAAACTTAGATAGGGACCAAAAGGGGGGGATACTATGGAGGAAATTGTTAAAGGCCCCAAAACACGAAAAGTAGTAATTTAGGGGACTTTAACTTTATCATATTGATTGGAAATTTTTTGACTGGGAATTTTGAATCAAACTCTTAGAAATGTTCAGGATTTTTTTTGAAAAATTTGTGAAGAACCAAAGGGGAAATAACCTGCTTGACTTAGTTATGGAAACATGAATCCCTTGTTAATAATTTAAAATTTTTAGGGAACTGGGTCTAGCGACCACAAATCAATTTCATTTTGATTGAATGGGAAATACATAGTAGCGATAATCGAAAAGTCCCAGATTTTCCTTAGCAAATTTTCGTTGGGCTTAGAGAACACTTTTCATCTGTTGACTGGGGGAACGAAGAGAGCTATCAATATGACAGTTTTCTGAACACTATACATGCGCTCAAAGAAAGTTTATCCCATATAAAGAAATTAGATAAAATAGAAATGACCCAAAATGGATGAATAATAGGCTCAAATATCTACTGGGGCATAAGAAAGGAATTTATAGGCGTATCAAAAAGAGGTGAGGGTCATCTTATGAATCGTATATTGACATTAAGAGGGAAAATTAAAAAGGGGATAAGAAAAGCTAAAAGGGACTATGAAATTAAAGTTGCTAGGGATTCTAAAACTAACCCAAAAGTTTTTTCCAGGTCTATAAAACAAAAGTTAGAGATAAGATAGGTCCCCTTAAAAATAACTATGGGCACCTTACTGACAAAGAGAATGAAATGTGCTCGATTTTAAATAATTATTTTCTCTCAGTTTTTACACAGAAAGCACTAACAATATTCCAGTAATTTAATTTTTATAGTGGGGCTAGAAGATAAATTAGTAACATCACAGCACTAGTGAAATGGTTGTGAAGCAGATAGACAGACTGAAGCAAAATAAGTCCCCGGGTCCTGATGAGGTTTTTTCAAGGGGTTTTTAAGGAATGCAAAATGGAACTCTGTGAACCAAATTTAATAATATTTTTAATTTATCTCTTCAAACAGGGGTAGTGTTGATATGTGGAAGATGGCTAATGTAAATTCCTATTTTTAAAACAGGGACAAGTCGTTACGTCAAATTAACCCCCAATAAGCCTGACCTCAATTGTAGGCAAATTACTAGAGTCAATTATAGCTGAGATTATAAGAAGCCATCTCGATAAGCATAGCTTGATTAATGATACTCAGCATGGATTCACAAGAGGCCGGTCTTGTCTAACTAATTTATTAACTTTCTTCAGTAAAGTTTTTGAGGCTGTTGACCACGATAAAGAATTTGATATTATTTACTTAGATTTTAGTAAGGCTTTTGATAGAGTTCCGCACCATAGACTGTTGAACATCAAAATGGTATACAATACCGACAGGTTGTTAGGTAAGACACATATGCAACAGTTAGATAACTTTATTCCGAAACGTTTCGCCTACACAGTAGGCTTCTTCAGTCGAATACAGAAAGTAGGCAGGAACAG